TTTATAATATTACATTATATTATAATTATAGTATTTTTTATGTAAAAAATAACAATAAAAATACTAAATTATGAGATTAATTAATCAACATCCAAAAAATTATTAAAATAATTAAATAATTTTACAAAAAAATCCTAATATCTAAAATAAAATAAAATGTAAGACCTCCTAATTTTTATTTATTTATTTTTTTCCGGCCAAAGTATGATTTTGTTATATGATGATGATTACTTCTTCCCACTTAACTATCCGAATGGCAACGATTAACGGACCGACCTTGCAGATTAATTCCTTCGCCGTCACCTCCTCTAGTCAACCCCCTCGCCGCCTCTCCGCTATGGGATTCCCCTGTACGTCGTCGTTTCTTCCTCCTTTCTGTAAGCTCTCATCCTTCCTTCGTCTCCACTCTCTACCACCAATGTCACTCTCTCACCAGCCACCACCATTTTCCGGCAACCTCAGTCTCACCTACAGAACCGCCGGCGGACGACGCCACAGCCTCACCGCCCGTGCCTCAGTCGAGAGCTCACGCGCCGCATCTAATGCCAGTCTGGTCACCGTCGGCTCCGCAATGACCGTCACATTAGCCGTCGCTAATCGTGTGCTCTACAAGCTCGCTCTCGTTCCTATGAAAGAATACCCTTTCTTCCTAGCTCAATTCATCACTTTCGGGTAACTTTCACCGTTTTCTTCTTTAAATTGATTTCATTTTTATGGTTTGATTTTATCGTGTTGCGAAATTCAGGTACGTGGTGATTTACTTTTCGATTTTGTATATACGATACCGGTCCGGGATTGTCACTGATGAAATGATAGCTTTGCCTAAATGGCGATTCATGGTCATCGGCGTTCTTGAGGCGCTTGGAGTTGCCAGCGGAATGGCTTCTGCAGGTACTATATTTTGGTATTCTTATAAATTATGAATCTAGATATAGAAGATGCAATATTTTCTTCAAATATTTTGTTCCGAGTGTTAAAATTGTGGTTTATGTCTTTGATTGTTTTGTTACTTTTTCAGCCATGCTTCCGGGACCAGCCATACCGATACTAAATCAGGTAATGCATGAACATTCTTCTATAATTTGGGTTAAAGAAAAGTAAGATTCAGGTGATATTTGGCAAAATTCCCAGCTGAATTTGTGGCACTTTGTTTTATTTTTATTCCTGCAGTCCTTTTTAGTGTGGCAACTGGGTTTTTCAACCCTTCTCTTAGGGAGGAAGTACTCATTGAACCAAATTGCTGGCTGCTTGCTTGTCGGTCTGGGTGTAGTGGTTGCTGTTGCCAGGTATGTTGTCTACTCGGCCACATTTCTAAGAATTCTTACTATAGGTCTTAAAAGTTTTCAATTTCATATAGTTGCTAAACATGTTCATGTTTGAGTTGTATTTGGTGTGTCTAGGTTGCTCTTTTCAAATTTAATTAAGAAATGAGTAAATGTATACCTTTATGGCATTTCCTGTGATGGTATCGGTATGGGTTAAGTCCTGTGCTGATGGTGGACAAGCACAGGGACAATTTTTTCATTTTAAGTGCCCCTTCATGCCATAATGCTGAAGTTATGGAAGTTCCCAGGACCCTGCCTACATGGGAAAAATTCTGTGACAGCATTAAAATCAATGTTCATGCTGACTGGAGTATCCCTGTACTGTTGTATGCACATTTTCTTCTTGTCAATGGTGTTGGCTTCATAATTGTTTTCTTGTTCTGTGATTGCAGTGGATCTGACACAAGCCAGATGGTTTCTGGAATTGATTTTCTCTGGCCTGCGGTGATGATAGCGTCAGCAGCTTTTCAAGCTGGTTCGTCTATTATCAAGGTTATAGCAGTGGAAAATTGTTATAGTTATAACTTACTTGTAATAGCAACATAAACAACCATGTTTCTCTGTCTTCAAACAGGAATATATATTTATTGATGCCGCGAAGCGACTCAAGGTATGTTCTTTACTCAATTGCCTTTTAGCATGCATGATTTATTGTTGATGCTCAAACACTGCTTCCAATTTATGTGCAGGGAAAGTCACTTGACATATTTGTTGTCAATTCTTTTGGATCTGGATTTCAGGTAGTTCTCATGTTGCTATTATAGAAGCTTGTTGACACAATTTATGATAATACTCATATACAATGGTAGCATAGTCTATTAATTGTACAAATACTGAAGAAAATGTTACAAAAGCCTACTGTCTATTTGGTTAATTTGGCTATACCTGCAACCAGATTGAATAACAATGGATTTGTTCTCCTTTTTTAAAATTCTTGTTTGAACTTACATTTCACAGGGTGGTTTTGATATTTCCATTTACTTGTATTTTTATAGCTAGACTCATGATGGACAATGGATAACCTCAACATCCCCTCCTCCCCCACCCCACACTCAAACACACACACACACACACACACACACAATGAAAATAATAATAATAATAATAAGAAGAAGAAGAAGAAGAAACCTTGCTACAAAAACAAGTAAAGGATCTTTGATCAGCAGAACTTCTCAGGAATTCTAGATTTAATTTACCGAATGACTGTTCTTTTGCATCAAGTTTATTTTAGTTTTATGCTTGGTCGTAGTATTTTTCTGATTTTCTTACACACAGTTGCTCCAACTTGGCAGAAGTTTGGATTATGTTTCATACTTCCATTGAATATTTTTTATATCATATATCTCTTTATTGTGTTTCTCAATTTCCATTTGATCTTGATAATGGATGTAAAGTAATATTTATTCATAACTCACTGTTGCTGTTTCCTTTTGTCTTGTAGGCTCTCTTTGTACTTTTCTTTCTACCTTTTCTATCAAACTTGAAAGGCATCAAATTTGCTGAACTTCCTTTATATCTGAAAAGTGGTGCTGGCTGCTTTCTGAATATTGAATCCAATACAGCAGGCAAGCACATATTATGGTTGATTCATTGCTCCATGCTGCATATGATTCAAAATTCATATGATGGTTGATTCATTTCTGTGTTTTGCTCATTGCTCTTATCATGGCACATTAACTTGAGAATACAATGATAAAGGGTAATAAATTTTACAGAATCTGTTTCCATTAATAACCAAACAGTGCTTAAATTTAAATTCATTCTGAAACTAACCGTTTTTGTATCATTAACATTTTTATTAGTTACACATTTCCCTTCTACAAGTTTGATGTGTCAAAATTTGGTTCTCATAAGGTGCAGTTGTTTACTGACTTCAGGTTGTGATGGGGCTCCATTGCTTCCATTACTTTACATTTGTACAAATATGGCTTTCAACATAGCAGTACTCAATCTAGTGAAAACATCTTCTGCCGTTGTTGCTTCTCTTGCTGTGACGTTGTCAGGTTCACTCTCTCTCTCAAACACACAAACAAGTTATCAGTGCAGGTCTTTTGGTGCCACTTTACAAGCTCTTATCTAATTGAAATTCCATTTTACTTTGCAGTGCCTCTTTCAATTTTCATTCTTTCCCGTCCATTGCCATATCTCCCAGAGGGTGCAAGCTTGAGCCCCTTCTTCCTTTTTGGTAGTGTGATTCTTGTGTTGGGTCTTGTGCTGTACAACATACCCCAACCAACCAAGCAAGACCCGAAACTAGGTTGATGTTAATGGTACAGCTATCGTTATTTTTTCCTTTAAAGGGATGCTACAATTTTTCAATGATAGTTACATCAAGATTTCATTTATAGATTCAGATGAAAGTGCTTCTTTTTCACCCTTTTTATTGGCTCAGGCAAGGTTAATCACTTGAACCATTTATCATCATCATCCATTGTAAGATGCAAACTAAGATTCTTTTTCATGGCATCCTAATGCATGTAACGTTATAACCATTTCTGTTCAAAGGAAGGATCCTTTTGGCTAAAAAACTGTGAAGGGCCACCGGCAGTCTGGCAGCATCTGTACAATTGAGATTTCTGGCATCCTCTTTGTACTGATATGCTTAAAATCAGCTGCAAACCAAGCAGAAGCGACACAAGTCCAGGATCTCTATCAGTTAGCTTTTTGCACTGGTGCCCAGCAGAAGAGGTAGAATGATTCAATGCTATAGGGTTTTTGCTAATCTAACACATATCTTATTACCACCAAAAAAATACATACCTTGATTAGTATTTTTAGTTTTTACTTGGTTGAAGTAGTCTTGAAACCCCAGTGTATATCGTTGATGTCAATGAATACATTTTCTTAAAAAAAATAAAAAAAGGGTTGCTCCCTGTAATACAAATCACCTAAAGAACATAATTTCTAACCTTATCGTTTTTTCAAGTAAAAAAGTTATAATTTTGGAGCTCATAGATGTAAACCAAGGGGAAAAACACTCAAATGAAGCTTTAACTCAAATGAGCTCATAGATTTATAACCTTTTAGTTTATATTGGCCTCTTTAAATACATAATTAAGTTCAAACAAAGTTTATATATAACAGAATTTATATTAATTCAAACAGACACAAATTCATATGACATATATACATCAGGTATATAAATTATTTTGTGCTAAAAGTCAGGTATATAAATTAAATATAGAAGTGTAAAGTCTCATACTTAAAATTTAATCCTTATACCAATATTTAGCATCTTCTACAAGTAAAAATATTTTTTTCAACAATCAATGATTTGTCAATTCAAGTATAAAAAATTTAATTTTTTTAAAAATAAATCTTACGTTTATAAATAAAAAAGCCTGTACTGATTGAGAGAGTTCCTCCGCTTATTAAATTTAATGTAATTTAATTTTAAATTAATTAAAGAGCAACGCAGCTTTTGCATAATGGTGCGTAGTAAAAGTGGTTGGACCGAAGACCACAGTTTCCTTTTTGTGGGGTGACTTTTAGTTTGATTGGGCCTGGGCCCTTGTCTCTGTACCCAAACGCGCCGTTGACAAAATCGCCGTCAGAACTCAGAAGAGACGTTCACTAATTAACACTCGAACACTGACAATTCTGATGCACTCTTCCCCAGGAACCTC